GGATGTTTTCATCATATATATTTTAAAATTTTTATGTAATCCAACCTGTCTTTTTTTTGGTCTTTTGGGTTTCATGCCATGCTTCCCTACCCTTCTGTCACCCTGCTCCCCTTCAATAAATAAAGGTAGAGCTCTCTCACCCAAGGGAATTGTCAGGACCCTGAATCTCAGATGTATCTTCTAAACTAAGTAGCAAGGTTAACGCACTCTCCTTGGTGATACTGGGGCAGGGATTCTTAATTTAGGGGGCTGTGAAGAGATTTTGGGAGTCTGGGAACTTACATCTTTATTTTTACTAGCTGTTAATCAAAATGTATCATTTCTTTCAATTATGAATGTAGGCCACAAACTGCAGTAGTATCAGTGAAACCTGTGACTGTCATTAAATATTAGTTTTTTCCTATCATGTTAAAGTTATTACAGATATCTTGAAATATTGTTTACACTCTTACTACTTTTAGATCAGATGCTAGGTCTTGCTATTTAATGCATTAATAAACAAATGCTATTATTTTGCACATTTTCTTGTGTTCTCATAGCTATATTTTCAATATTTTGATGTCCTCTGTAATTCTATGTTTTGCTTTGTGCATTTAAAACCATTCTTAGACCGGCACGGTGGCTCACGCCTGTAATCCCAGCACTTTGGGAGGCCAAGGCGGGAGGATCACAAGGTCAAGAGATCGAGACCATCCTAACCAACATGGTGAAACCCCGTCTCTACTAAAAATACAAAAATTAGCTTGGCGTGGTTGTGCGTGCCTGTAGTCCCAGCTACTTGGGAGGCTGAGGCAGGAGAATCACTTGAACCTGGGAGGCGGAGTGAGCCGAGATCGCACCACTGCACTCCAGCCTGGCGACAGAGCAAGACACCGTCTCAAAAATAAATAAATAAAATAAATAAATAAATAAATAAATAAAAAGTAAAAATAAAAACCATTCTGGGGAAAGGGTATGGGCTTCATCAAACTGCCAAAGGGGAATCCCTCCTCCAAAAGGCAAGAGCCCAGGCAGGAGGCGGCTGGGGCAGCTCCTTCCAGATCCCACCCCCCATCACTGCCAGCCAATGAGTGGCCATATCACAGCCACGCCTTACGCCAAGCTTATCCAGCTCTGCACTTTCATTTTTGCAGAAGGGACGTTTTCCTGAGAAAGGAGGTCTTTTCGGTAGGTGCTCAGACTTCCTTCAAAGTGATCTTTTCCGGGATTGGGCTAGAATGTACGATCTGCCTAAGAAAGAGTTTCTTCTCAGATCCTGCCACTTCTAGACATGTCAGAGTGCAGGCCTTTCTTTTGTTACTAGATTCTTAGATTTTTCAGGAGAAACCAGCAAACCAGATTTTATGTAACCCCCCCTCTGACTGTATGCCTGCCTATCTATACATCAACCCAGAAAGCCCAACAATACACTTTTGACCTTAAATCACCTCAGGGCTCCTTAGTGGCCGGCATCCCAGCGCGGGGAGCCCTGTCCATACACCTCAGATACATTTCCCTTCAGGAGAATGGGATCCAGAGCAGGCTTCTGAGGTGTGATGCCAGCATTTGGCAGCAGAGGGCACTCCTATTACAGGTTGCCTAGGCTGTGTCCTATTTCCTGAGGTGTAGGAGGGAGACCGTCTGTGAAAGGGGCTGAGAGGGCAGGTGCCTAGTACTGGGCTTAGGAGGGAGTGAGGGGCCATTGGGGTATTGAAAATCCATCCTTCTGTCCTCCCACCCAGCAGTTGTGGGCCAGCTGCTCAGGGTGACAGGACTAGCCAGCTAGGGCTGGTCTCCTTTAGTCTGTGCACCTGTCCCCACGGCTGATGCCAGATCTTGTGTGTGCTGCAGTAGAGGTGGGCAGCAGAAATGACAGCTTTCCAGTGCCAAGTGATCTAGTCCTTTAGAGGCTGTTGGTATCCTTGGGACTAAGAAAAGAACTTGGCACATAATAGGCACTCAGTAACTCTTCCCTTTGTTGAGGGTTGAACCAAGGCCTAGTAAGGGAAGAGTGTGAGGGTTGCATGCATGAGGTCTTGGTCAGCTCAAGATGGAGGATTTGGTTTTTGGCTAAGGTAGATCTGGGTGCATGTCAAGTCTACTTTCTTACACCAGCCCTGCAAAGGAGGGCACCCTATTTACACATGGGGAAATTGAGGCTGGTGGAAATAACACACACAAAGGTATCCTCAGAACTACTTTCTGCAAATGTCAGGGATACAGTGGGAAGAGAGCTGAGAAGTAAACGTCTTAGGCGATTTCACAGTGTCAAGTCAAGAGGGCACACCACTGACTTGTAGGCTCAGGGCAGAGCCTACATATAATTTAGCTAATTTGGTTCTAACAACTCTTCTAGGTAGAGTTTACTTTTCCCACTTTACAGATGAGAAAAACGAAGATCAGAGAGGCTACGTGATGTTCCCAGGGTTATGTAGCTTGGGAATGTGGAATGTAGATGCATCTTTGACTCCTAAAGCCTGGACTCTTCTTTTTGCTCTTCTGGGTGGCAGAAAACCCTGGGGTGAAAAAAGTGCCCTGACTAGGAGAAGACAGCAGGAACAAGATTCCCCATCCGAGTAGGTGGTGCACAGATATCCCAACTTGGTCCTGGTCCCTGCTCCATCTACTATTTTTTTTAATGTTTAAAAAATTGTGGTAAACTATACATAATGTAAAATTTGCCATTGTAACCATTTTCAAGTGTACAATTCAGTGGCATTAGTACATTCACATTATTGTGCAACCATCACTACCATTTATCTCTGGAACTTTCTTATCATTCCCAAACTGAGATTCTGTACTCATGAATCAATAACTACTCATTCCCCCTCCTCCGGCCACTGGTAACCACTATTCTACTTTCTGTCTCTGTGAATGGACTATTCTAGGTACAAATGGAATCATACAATATTTCTAGGTATAACTGGAATAACACAATATTTGTCTTTTTGTGTCTAGTTTATTTCATTTACATAATGTTTTTGCCTTGATCTGAATGTTTGTGTCCCTGCAAAATGGGGTTGAAATCTTGACCCCCAAGGTGATGGTATTGGGAGGTGGGGCTTTTGGGAGGTATGGTTAGGTCATGAAGGTAGAGTCCTCATAATTGGGATTAGTGCGCTTATGAAAGAAACTTCAGAGAGCAAGGTAGCCCCTTCTACTAAGTGAGGGTGCAGTGAGAAGATGACAGCCAGGAAACAGGCCCTCACCAGGCACCGAATCTGCCAATGTCTCTATTTTGGACTTCCCAGCCTCCAGAACTGTGAGAAAAACACTTCTACTATTTATATGCTACCCACTCAATGGTATTTTGTTATAGCAGCCTGAATAGACTAAGACAGTTTTCAAGGTTCATTCATATGTCAGAGTTTCCTTCCCTTTTAAAGTTAATATTATATTGTATGGATATACCACATTTTGTTTACCCATTAATCTGTTGATAGACATTTGAATTGTTCCCACTTTTTGGCTATTGTGAATAATGCTATTATGAACATGAGTATATGAATATCTGTTTGAATCCCTGCTTTCAGTTCTTTGGGGTATATACCCAGAAATGGAATTGCTGGATCTTTTGGCAATTCATGTTTAATTTTTTGAGGAACTACCATTGTATCCACAGTAATGGTACCATTTCACATTCCCACCAGCAATGCACAGGAGTTCCAGTTTTCCTGCATGTCCTTGACAATGCTTGCTCCCATACACATTTGCTTTGGCTGCCTCAAAATGTAGAGCTTGGCAGATTGAGGCTGTGGTGGGAAGAAAGCCTTTGCAATGGAAAAAAGAGAAAGAGGGAGGGAGGGTGAAGAGTTGGGGGATGGGAGAGAGAGAGAGTGTGAAAAGGAGCTTTTTTCCCCCACTCTTCCCGGACCCTCATGGGGGCTGCACAGACTCCTAGAACCTTCAAGTAGCAAGACAGAGGTCCCCTCCACCAGCCACAGAGCTCTCCTTACACCTGGCCTCCTATTCCCAGCAACTTTAAGGAAGTATTTTTTTAATTGGCCATGGTTTTATCAAAAGCCTATTAAGTTTTTGCCACAAAAGGATTTTCTTTAAAATAAAAATAAGGGTAAGTATTTGACTGATGTCCCTTGGGAGTGCTTTAGAGAAGAGGAATGAATACTGACATGTCCTGTCTTCCCAGATGCAGAATTGTAAAACAAACAAACATAATTGCTTTTCACATGTAAAAGAAAACTGACTTAGAACATACTAGCGTTTTCTTTGCCACGAAAGAGTTTACTTTCAGTGACTAAGCCAGAACTACTAGAGTTGTCAGGCCTAGGGACAGGACACATGGCAAGTGCTTAGCCAGGCTGGCCAGGACTGACCATTTCTGCAAGGAGTCCACAAGAAGGCTCAGGGCAGCCCTTTCCTGCTCCTATCAATTTGAGTTGAGCAACAAACCTTTTGACCAAGTATCAGCTCCATGGCACAACCTACAGTTACACGGTGCCCACAAAACAGAATCTCAGCACAGCAACTACTGGCTATGGGAAGCGATCAGAGACTAACATCAGGAGAAAAAATACGTTTTTCAGTCCTGGGTTTCCAAGTTGGCATCCCCAGGGCAAACCAGCAGGTTGGGAGGGTAGGGGCTGGTGGGTGGGGGCTGCGGAGGGAAGGTGGCTGCCATCTGTCTGATCAGACCTGGGGCACACCCAAAGAACTCTCCTAGCTTGGGATCAGGTCAGGAAGAAACCAGGACGGTCCCTTTAGGAGAGTGAGCAGGACTATCTGCCCGGGGGGCTGCGGCCGCCCCTGCACAGCAGGCCATCGATTGTACCGGAGGCAGGGTGTGGGGAAACCGGGGCAAGTCCAGCCTCTCAGCAAGGCCAGGAAGCCATTCACTTGGATCCTGGATTTTACTAACGGATTAAACGTGGCATTCTCTCCTTCCCCCATCCGTTACAGACCTAAAAATAGCTCGTCCCAGAGGGGCCGGGAGAGGCTCCACCTCTTCTTGAGGTGGGGCGGGGCGGCTGTAGTAGGAGCGGGAGGCACCAAAGACCCCAAGTCACGAGCTGACTGGCGCACCAAGGAGCTCTCTGCCCGCGGCGCCGCACCGGAGTGGGCCGGGCAGGCTCTGCCTCCGCCACAGAGAGCGCCCGGGCTGCGGGGAGCTGGGGAAGCATCCCAGGAACGGCGGGCGGTGAGCATTCCGGGAACTGTCTCTGGGCTGTCTGCGGCGGTGGAGCAAGTCTGGACGCAGGACGTGGGGCGAGTAGGGGAGCCGCCACCTCGAGACGTCTTCCCGCCGCCCCCGGTTCCGGGCGACCCCACGGTTAGCGGGCCGCGCGGGAAAACTATGCCAGGAATTAGTCCCGGGAGCGGGGCGGGTGGGTAGCTTGGCTGCACTCCTAAGGATCAGGGATTCGGGAGGTTAAACATTAGCCGGGGCGAACTCCCTACCGGGGTGCAGCGGGGCGCTGGAGGAGCCGGCTGCGTGCGTCCCCACTGCCCAGGGCGCGCCCTTCCGGCCCGGCGCCGCCCTGCACGCCGGCCGCCTCCGCCTGCGCCGAACCGCGGCGCCCGGGGAGCGAAGGACCTGGGCGCCGGGCAGTGAAGGCGGGAGCGGGAATGACGGGATGCCCCAGGACTTGGCTACACTAGGAAGACGGACTTGGGTTTTTAACTTTTTGTAAAAAGAAAAGTGATTTGGGAGGGCTTGATGATCTGAGTGCCTTAGGTAAAGGAGGATCTTTTAGTAAATAGGTGATTTAAAAACAATAGCATTGGCATCTTTCGTTCCCCTTCTTCCTTTCCTGGGCTGGACCTCAGCAGGAGGCAGACGTGGTATTTTCATCTTGAGGCGGCTGCGAATAAAGTCCACCGAAGACCTGCTCAGTGCAGGACAGGGGTCCAGGAGACGGCAGAGGAGGAGGTCCGAGGGGGCCTGGGCAAGGCCTAGTTCAGGGAGCCCTTCCTGGGGGCCCAGGGCCTAGGCTGCCCCTGCCTGGCCTCCTGGAATTCGATTTCTTTTTTTTTTTTTTTTTTT